AAATGACAACTCCTCTCCCAGTTTGATGAACTTGCTGATGGGGGTAAAAGTGTTGCAGCAAGCAATCATTGATTTGCTGTTGGATATTATGGTCGAATGTTGCCAACCTTCAGAAGGAAGTTCTAGTAGTGAGTCATCTGAAGTGAAGCCTAAAGCTTCTCCAGATGGCAATGGAGCAGCTAGTCAATTGGAGTCTGATAGAGGTAATGGTGCAAAAGAACCTTTGCAACTTTATGCCCATGATAGACTGGATACAGTGACGGAGGAGAGCATGGATTCATCTGCTGTCCAAAGCTCGGATATTGATGGGATTAATGCACCTGAAAAGGCTTTCTCTGGGCAGCCTATATATCCACCAGAAACATCTGCTGGTGGCTCCTCTGAAAATCCTTCCCTTCGTACTAAGGTACAACCACTATCTTCCTGTTGAAGTTTCCTGGTTTGATATGTCTTGGTATAGACCATTCACAGAGTTTTTAATTTCAGACCAAATGGCCAGAGCAGTCTGAGGAGCTTCTGGGATTGATAGTAAACTCCCTAAGAGCACTAGATGGAGCTGTTCCACAAGGTTGTCCTGAGCCAAGGAGGAGGCCGCAGTCTGCCCAAAAGATAGCCCTTGTATTGGATAAAGCTCCAAAGCATCTACAGCCGGACCTAGTTGCGTTGGTTCCAAAATTGGTTGAGCATTCAGAACATCCACTTGCTGCTTATGCTCTTCTAGGACGACTTGAGAAGCCAGATGCTGAACCCGCATTAAGGATGCCAGTGAGATATTCTGAAAGTTTCTTCTGTTTCTTCAATCATGCGTGAAAAATGATTGTACCTTTGCATCATTTCTATTACATAGAGCATTTAGCATTTAGCACTTACGAAGTGGCAATTTATCTATCTGATTGCTTAAGTGTTAATCTCTCAGGTCTTTGGTGCCCTTGGCCAGTTGGAATGTAGCAGTGATGTGTGGGAACGTGTTCTTTTCCAGTCATTTGATCTTTTAGCAGATTCCATTGATGAACCTCTTGCAGCAACTGTTGACTTCATATTCAAGGCTGCCCTTCATTGTCTACATCTTCCAGAAGCAGTATGCATAAGATTTGGTTTTATATATATTTTGGTCTTATTATGCACCCTTCTACCAGTGTAATATTTTGATTTTCGCTGCAGGTCAGAGCCGTACGTGTCCGGCTAAAACAACTGGGCACTGAAGTCTCCCCATGTGTTCTTGATTATTTGACCCGAACTGTAAATAGCTGTGCAGATGTTGCAGAAGCTATTTTAAGAGATATTGATTGCGACAATGATTCTGGTGACAATTGCTCGGCTGTACCATGTGGGATTTTCTTATTTGGTGAAAGTTGTCATACTTCAGAAAGACCGCCTGAAGTAGATGAGCAAGCTTTCCTTTCTACTCATCATTTTTCTGATATTTATATACTTATTGACATGTTATCAATTCCATGTCTTGCCGTGGAAGCTTCCCAAACATTTGAGAGAGCTGTAGCTCGAGGGGCCATTGTGGCTCAGTCTGTAGCC